AAATTGACATAATTTGAGCTGAATGTTAATATACTATATGAATATTTTAAAATTTGATCTTAAAATATCAAACGACTAACATCTAACTCAAAATGTCGTTCATTTTTAACGAAAAATAATAAATTCGAAATATAATGAATAATCGTATGATCATTTTGTAACTTTTAATAGTCGAGGGACTCAACAAAGTAACATCCTATAGTCGAATGATCATTTTATATTTTTTAATAGTCAAAAGACTCAATAAAATAATATCTTATAATCAATATTATTTATATACTTTATCCTAAAAATATTAACCAATATAAAGACGAGAATTACAATTAAATGTCAAAATTGATTAACGATAAAAATGATCTAACATTTGATAAAACTAAACCCTAACCCAATTGCAAGCCCAATGTTGGTATCCAAAGATATGATCTTTAGGGTTTTCAAACTCTCTCTCTCTATATATAAGCAATTTATCATAAGCATTTCTCTATCGTCCACCTTCCCCGGTGGAGCTTCAGAAGACCAAAGCATTCAACCATTGTAGATCGGTAGTTATCGTTTTTCCCTTTATTCTTGAAAGCGCCAAAGGCCGAGCGCTTCCCCCGTGAAACAAGGGGTGGCGTGGTATTCCACGGGGAGAGGTTGTGGCGCACGTTAGTGCGATTGGCGCATATTAACACCGTTTCTTTTTCGACTCGGTGTGGGATTCCATGGCCGCTTCGTTACTTTAGTTATAGTAGTCGGGGCGAGGGTATTGCCCTACATTTCTTCTTCCTATGTTATATCTTTACACCAGGTTTTGAAAATAAATTGTTTTTTTTAATATTTTATAAAAAAGCATTTTCCGTTGTTCGAACTCTATATTATAAGATATTTTTTTGCTAATTTTAAAAAAAATAATTTCAGAAACTTATGTTTTCGTTAATTTTCCTGAAAATAATTTACATCTAATGTTATACAAAACTAATAAGAGTACCCATGGTAGTCTGAAAGGGGAGGGATGAAGTGAACCCTCGACATAAGAATCGTTTGGGATGAAAATAGGGAAGCACAAATCTGAAATCGCAAAAGGTAAGAATCGTTTGATTACCTGAGGAGATAAACGATGATGACCTGAATAATCGTCGCCGGTGAGAAGAGTATTTGATAGGATGATTTGGATGTAAAGAGCTTTGAAGGAGTGATTTTCCTTTGAAGATGAAGGCTGCTGTTGTTTTACGGGAGAAAAGGAATGATTTTCCTTCGACCGGAGAATATTTCCCTTTGACCAAAAATTTTCCCTTAAACCAAACATGAGAAAACACGAAAAACATTTTCCATAATTTATTTTCTTCCAATAATCAAAATAATTATTTTCATTATTCGAGGGAAAAGCAATAATCTTCATAAAAGTCATTACTTCTATATTTACAAACCTCATGTAAAAACATATTTGGATAATAACTATTTTTGTGAATAAAATATATTAATTTTTCAAGTATAATACTAAAAATTAATTTTTAACATTTACTCAAACAATCATTTTAATTTTTAGTATTTTAATTTTAAATTTATTTTTTATTCAAAATAATATGTATTAGATAAAATTATTAATTGACTAATGATTTATATATATCATTGATGTAGGCAGGTAGAATGTCTCATATTACTCAAGATACTAACGAAAATATATATTATGTCATCTAAAATGATGATGTGATATATATCACGTCAATAGTTTATTAAATGTTGAAACTAGAGATGATAACGGATTGGATTTTTTACAATTGGGTCCGATCCGAAAATAGGTATCCTTCATTCAAACCTTATCTAACCTGATTAGAGTATAAATTTGACCCGACCTGGCCTAATTAAAAATCCTATCCGACCTGACCAAATCTCGATTTTTTTAATAAAATCTAACTCTATCTAATCAGATTCGGGTTAAATTGCAATCGTAGTTGAAACTCAAAACACTAGTCCAAATTCAAAAGTAAACCCGAACCAAATTGCAAGCCCAACTTTGGTACCCAGGAGTCTGATTCTAGGGTTCACAGACTATATATAAGCAAGTAATAAGCATTTATGTCGTCCCCTCCCCAGAAAAAAACACTTAGTGGCTGCTGCTCGAGATTCAGTGAACACCAAAGCATTCAACCATGGTAGTTAACAATACATTCGTCTCGTTACTCTTCAGTGTTTTTCTCTCACTTTATTGCTTTTATTTTTTCTTTTTTTCTTACTATGTAATGTTCATTTGAATGCAACTTTAACAGGCGGATGTGGAGACGGAGGTTGCAGCTGCTGGAGTCCCCAAGAAGAGAACGTTCAAGAAGTTTAGCTTCCGAGGAGTTGATTTGGATGCTCTGCTTGATATGTCCACCGACGAGCTTGTTAAGCTCTTCCCCGCCCGTGCTCGTAGAAGGTAAATAGCTAAGATATCATCCCCCCCATTTTTGATAAAAAAGTATCAATCTCGTTTTGTTTTCTAATTGTTCTTCTGATGTGGTTTTTAGGTTCCAGAGGGGTCTCAAGAGAAAGCCAATGGCTTTGATCAAGAAGCTTCGCAAGGAGGTAAGCTGATCTTTAATTTGCTCCTTTTTGTTACTTTTTAATAAATTTTATTTGTGGGATTTATAATTAGGTTTAGGGTTGACATAGAGTTACTTGGCATTGTTCATTTGATTTCTGTTTAAACTTGTTTAAGGGTAAAACTCATGTATTTTATTCGGCATGTAGCATTTGATTCTTATGGTTATTATTTTAATTTCTTGAAAATTTTGTAACACATCTCACTGAGCTAAAGTTGATCTTTTACTCCTTTCGATGTCAATAATATATGGTTACCACTCATCTTGAAGCATATTGCATTTGCCATTTGCTTGATTGATTATGATTCGAATCCCTCTTGAATGCATTTATTTGAATGTAGCCTTGAAGTTGATATTTTACTTTTTCTTTCGATGATGTTGTTGGGAATCTCACATCGTTACCACTCATCTTGGGGTATATTGCATTTGGTTGATTGATTATGTTTCAAATCCCACTTGAATGCACATAATTGAATATAGTCTTGAAGTTGATTTTTTCCTTTTCTTCTTTCGATGATGTTGTCGGGAATCATATATTGTTACCCATCATCTTGAGGTATATTGCATTTTGTTGATTGATTATGTTTCGAATCCCACTTGAATGCACATATTTGAATATAGTCTTGAAGTTGATTTTTTTACTTTTCTTCTTTCAATGTGTTGTCCGGAATCGTTACTCTTGAGGCGTATTGTATGATTGCATTTGTTTGATTTTGTTTCAAATCCCACTGGAATGCACATATTTGAATATAGTTTTGATTTGATTAAGTAAAAGGTTTTGGCTCATTCTAATTGCAAGTAAAGTAACTAACTCTATCGCATGTGTTGTAGCCATCTCATCTTCTCTATTGTTTAGCAGTTTATGGTTTCGTTTTCCAATCTCGAGTTCCATTTCATATATTTACGGTTACTCGAATAAGTTTAGTGTTACTCATCCTAGGTTGTTGAATTGTCATTGTAGTTCTATAGCTTTAGCGAATATTATCTTTGATCGAACTGCGTTAGATGCATCGGTGTTTTGATTATTCTGTGAAAGTTTAATCTTACATTGATGTATTGATATAGAAAAGGGAGGCACCACCTGGTGAGAAACCAGAGCCAGTTAGAACCCACCTGCGTAATATGATCATCGTGCCCGAAATGATTGGAAGCATCATCGGTGTGTACAACGGCAAGACATTCAATCAAGTTGAAATCAAGCCTGAGATGATCAGCCATTACCTCGCCGAGTTTTCTATTTCGTACAAGCCGGTGAAGCACGGTAGACCCGGTATCGGTGCCACTCACTCTTCTAGGTTCATTCCTCTAAAATGAAGTCAGTTCCATGTGGTTTGGGAACCTTTTTATATCTGTGGTGTATGAAGAGATAATTCATGTCGATCAAGTTTTGATTGTTGCAACCTTAGGCATTTTAATTAATGACAATTTTATATTGTTTCGGATGATTATTGTCTATGTTTTATATATTACCATTTAAAGGCATGCTTGACGAGGTTCATGTCTTTGATAAATTATGCGTTTAGTACCTAAACTATTATTTATCATTTTTTTTGTATCTAAATTTTTAACTTTTCAAAACAGTACATAATGTTTAGTTTTTGTTTCGTAGTAGTAATATGTCGTTACATCATTCGTCCCTCAACTATCTTCTCACTCCTTTCGTACTAAAGTTTATTTTTTTTTAATTTAACTACTCAACTTTCTAAATTTTCTTATTTTAATCACTCTAATTTATTTTATTAATAATTTTTGTGACATGATGTTTTTAATATTATTTTGTTATTGTATAATTAAAAACTAAAAATAAATAAATTTGAAAGCTAAAGTGATTTAATTAGGAGTAATTTGGATGTTTAGTAATTAAATTAAAACAAATTAAATTTTAGTGATTAAAATAGGAGTGAGAAAATAGTTGAGTGATGAATCATATAATTTACTCGTAAAAAAGGTGTTAAGTACAAATCATTAAGTTAATGCGAGGTACTAAAAGCAAAAATTAAACGTTAAATATAATTTTTGATAGATTGAAAGTTCATGTATTAAAATAGATCAAAACTAATAGTTATGTATTAAATACAAAATTTACTTTTTTTTTAATAATCTGAGTTGATTATAAGTTATAATTTATTTGTAATTTTTCTAGTTATTAACAATAAATATAATTGTTCGAATATGAGAAAACAACAATTTTATATATTATCCATTAATAGAGTCAATTTAGGTTATAGAAGAAGAATTCAAGCTACCAATTAAAAACTAAATTGAACCATACTTCATTGTTCATCCCTAATTAAGAAATGGAGAGAAAAGTCAAAACTATTACACCAGAATTAACTTTTTGTGCTACAAATTGGCCCGATTAATTTTACATTTTTTGTCAATTGACCCAATCTTGAATCATCCATGAATTGGAGCCACGTGTGATTTTCCATTAGAAAACTTTGATCAAAACTTGCGGCCGTGTATTAATATTCGGTCGGTCCAACGTTGCCGAAGTTTCCTCTCAGCTCCTTGCAATGCTTTAGTCACTGCCTCCTCTACCCTGGCAGCTCCCATCTACAATCAACGATTAGCATTACTACGATTCACATCATTTTGGTAAAACTACTGTATAGATCCATGATTAGATCGCAGTTTGCATTTCGGTCCCTATACAAAAATGTTCGTAACGTTAGGGAAAATGACATCAATTTTCATTTAACATAAAAAGTGTTGATTTCATAAGGTGAATTTCATTACATGATATGACATCAATTTAAGATATGATATGATATGTTTAACGGGTTGAATTGATCAAAATCATTTTTAATTAATCGGAATTTAATTAGATATCATGATAATTACAATTTTAAAATTTTTACATATTTTTTTGTTAAAATAAAAAATTGAGTAAAATACTAATTTATTTAATTTAATAACATGAAGTTAAGTAAACTTTAATTCAATACCCCAATTTTAGTATCTTATAAACTAATTATATATAGGGTAAAGTACACAAATGGTCCCTCGACAATAGAGTATTGCTTTATGAGCCCTTGAAATATTAAAAGTTAGAAAATGGTACCCTGACTATAAAATATTACTTTCCTAAGTTAAAAGTTAAAAATGGTCACCCGACTATTCATCATTTTTCGTTAAAAAATTAATGGCAATTTAAGCTGGACGTTAACCTGCTGAATGTGATATGATAGTGGTTTTAGATTTTGGGTTCATATTACATCATATCTCAGTCAGTAGGTTAACATCAACTGCCATAAATTTTTTAAAAGAAATGGACGAGTTTGGAACACAATGAATAGTCAAGTGACCATTTTATAACTTTTAATAGTCATGGACTTAAGAAATCAATATATTATAGTCAGAGGACCATTTGTAACTTTTAATTGTTGAAGGACTCGATAAAGCAATACTCTATAGTCGATGGACCATTTTATTTTTTTTAATTTACCTGAGATTCAAACTCCATGACAGCAAGGAATTGTTGATGAGTAAACATTGAGTGGATCATTGTGGGTTTGGAATCCATAGCCTTCAAGCATTTGAGAGGTTCCAACATTGAATCAATCCCAGATATTGGATTCTCTATCTTCACTCTGTTTCCCCCATTATAGTTTGCTTGCAGCTCAAGGTTTCTCCTCTCCAAATCTTTCTTCACCCATTCCAGCTCTTGAACTCTCTTCATCGCCATTTGAACTATCGAGTTCTTATCATTCCTCCATGCCAAACATCAGTCCAGATGTTCAATGGCTAAGTTGGAAAAGATTACCAAATATGAGGACTAGAAGTTGTTTTATCCATATTTATCAAAGGCATAATGACGAAATTAACCCTCAATGTTTACTGAAATGGTTACTTTAGCTCTTATTCTTTTTCTCTGAGCATTTTAGCCTAACATTTCAATATTTGGTCAAAATGAATCATGCGGAATAAAAATCGTTAGTTGACTAATTGACAACATATGTTATTGACGTAATGTTTTCACATGTGTTAAATTGGTAAAATGTGACATGCCACGTCGTATAAAGTGATGACGTGGTATGTGACACATCGCCTAAGGTTATGACATAACATGTTATATGTTAACAATTAAATATATGTAAAAATGTCACGTCAGCAACATGCGTTGTCAGCTAATCAACTACTGGTTGTCATTCAATAGTTGTTATTTTGACAAAAAATTGAAACGTTAGGTTAAAATGCTAAAATAAGGAGTAAAATAAAAATGACCATTTTAATAAAAGTTGAGGATTAATGGGGACTAAATCCACGGGAAACGCACATTGTAGGGATCATTTTAGTAATCTAACCAAATCTCTTCTCATTCTCTCATTCACCATGTGACGGAAACACCTCTCTTTCTCACCTTCTTTAGCATCCTCCGTCGCCCCCGGCCAACTCTTCTTCAAGAACCCAATCATCCTCTTGCTCAAATTCCCGGAATTCCCACCACCGTCACAACCCAGAGCGACAGTCGAATACGGAACGAAAGCACTCGGTGCAGTAGCAGCAGCAGCAGCAGTACTCGACGTCGTCGTTTCATACCAGAAGATTTCTCCTTGTAGCATCTGCTTTATCAACTCACTTTCCATGGCGTTTTTCTTTTAGTATACTGGTGTTTTGTTTTTTCGAGCTGGGATTATATATGTATACAGGGTTCAGTGGATTCTTCTTCGAGGTTAACAATAAACCTTGACGGAGGCCCCAAATTTCAGCCATGGCACTAGTGGGTCTTTCAAGATTAAGCATGAACCCTTGTATTCAGCTTCCTTCCTCGTCTCTAACAAGGTCTCTGATTCTACTTTGAGTATTTTAAATCCTATAACCCTGAATATATTTATATAATTGTGGATACAATAACTTCAATTGAATAAGCATTCATCAATGTTTTTTAATCGAGTCAAATCAAAAATAAATTATAATATTATGACAATTAATTATAGTTATACATTTTTAAGCATAAAAAGATACGAATACGATTTTATGAATGAAATAAGGTTGACTTATGATCATTTGGTTCCCCGCGATTGTGTAGTATTATTTCTTTAACTAACGATACAAACGTTATCAATTTAGTGTTTAGGTCGTCAACGAAGTTAAATTCTCTCGTTAAGTGGCACATGTTATAATTTTAAAATTTATTTTTTAGAAAATATTATTATATTTATAAAATAACATAATTTCTCTTAAATTACAAAAAAGTCCCAAAATTACTAAAATCTCTAAATCTTAACCCTTTCCAGCCATGACCAATGCCGTCGACGTAGTCTTTTCTATCCTTATAGTCATACGATGTCGTAGTTATCGTCGATTGACCGTCAAAATCGCGTGGATCGCGATTTTTATCTTAGGTTTTGCATGGTATAAAATATCGATTCGTCGTCGACCGATCATGATTTCATAAGGGTTTTAGTCGCAGTGACAGGTAAGGTTGGGTGGAGCTTCGTCGACGACAAATGTCGATAGTCGACGTGGGCTTAGGGATTGAAATGAAGGTTTTCAAAGTTTAGGGTTATTTTGAAATTTTTGTATTTTGTTAAAAAAATGATTTTAAATTTTAAATAAAAAGTTTTAAAAGTATAGAGTGCGTCACATGTCTCTTAATAGAGGAAATTAACGTTGTTGATGGTCCAAACACCTAAAGTGGTAACATTTGTAACGTTAGACATCATGATCATTCAAAAAATAGTTTAGGCACATTCGTCAAAACCGTTATAGTTTAGACGCTTATTTTATAATTAAATATTTTAAATTTATTTGATTCTGTTTATAATATTAGTATTTAAGTCATATATATTGTATGAAATATTTAACCTATTTATTAAGGATATAATGTTAAATTTCATTTTTAATTTTAGTTTAAATTATCACTTTAATATTTATTTTTTAAAATTATTTAATTGTCAAATTTTTATTTCTTTTAACAATATTTTTTGAGTAAAATTCTTAAGTGATTAACCATCATCGTTAAGTGACTAACAATCAACGTTCGAGTGACCAATATGTTATAATCCGAAAATGTAGATGATAAAAACTAAACTCCTAAAATAAGTGACCAAATAAGAACATTAGTAAAATAAAAGGGACCATACGCGTAGCTTACCCTATTCAAAATGAATTTGACCGACTCAAATTCTGAGCTTAAATCGGTCGGGTTTCTAAACAAAAAAAAACCAAAAAACAAACGTAGCAAGCAATTCGGCCAAGACGGTACATTTGATCAATCCACATAATTCAATATATCTACTCTGCGCACACCGTTTCGTTTCAAATTTTCCCAGAGAAAATAGTTGTTTGGAAAGGAAGAAAAAGGAGGAAGAAGAAGATCCTATTTGTGATTTCAGATAATCAGGTTCTTTTCCTTTGAGCCTATTTTCATATATTTCTTTTCCTGAAGAAAGACTGTATTTTTTTTTTGTTTCATGGTTTATCCTTTCGATAATTATGGGTTACACTTGAAGCAATCGTAATCGAATAAAGAATTTAGGGTTTTGATTGTTTTATTTGGCACAATTGAAGAATTAAAAAAAAAAGTTGTCCCCAAGCTCAAGGAGTAGGATTTGCTGTTTTAAGCATGATGATCGACTCCTGGTTGAAATGTTTGATCTGAAATTATCTAATTTTGCAGTGGATTTGACTGTAAATTTGAATGTTGTGAGGCAGATTTTAATGCATTTGATCAAATAAGAGGTTGTAATTGCTTAGTTTGATTCATGGGTTTATCTAATTTGTTGTCTTACGTCTAGATGAAAATCACAGACCATGATTCTCACTGTTAGAGGATGAACTGTTTGTAGTTTGTAGGCTTTTTCTCGATCAATCAGATCGGTCAAGCAAGTTTTTCGATGGTATGCCCCTCGGAATATGTGCTACTTTTCAGCTTCATGATTGTATTCCGGCCAAACGCGGCATCCTTATGCACGGTTCCTTGGTAATCTAATTTCTAGTTTGATCAGGGAAGCCACAGAAAATGAATCTTCTAAAGTAGGTTGTCGATTTGGTTAGATGGAAGACACTTGCGAAATCATGATACTCGTGGATATTTAGGCCAATCGATCTTCTGATATGCTAGTTTCAACATTTCTCGTTCTTTACTTTTCTTCTTCGTTGCGTTATGAATAGTTGAGATGCGCGATCCGTTCTGCTGAGGTCTGAAAAGGAATCCAGCAATGGTCATTGGCATTAGCTACTTTCTGTATTAGATAAGCTTGATATCGAAATTTATAGCCAAATGATGGCTCATGGGGGAATATAGATTTCCTTGTTCCTTTTCTTTTTAATCATTATCATCGATTGATTAGTTTCAATTCGAACAATTGTTGTTACTTCTTGATTTAGCTGGTTTGTTGTCGGATTTTTTCTCACGAGTGCTTTTATTGTCTTTCTGAAGTTGATAATGTTGTGTGAAGTGGAGTTGCAAAGGGATGTGAAGGTACATGCTAGAAACTTGGATAAAAACGGACTGGTTTCTCGAGGGTTCATTCTAGCACGCCTACTCGAGGACCTGTCTGAGGAGAAAGCCAGCGAGGATCACGGTTACTTTCTAGCCGTAACTAGCTTGAAAAGAATAGGTAAAAAAATGTACTGGACGACTCGGGGAATATGGTTTTCACCGTAGTGTTTACATGCCGGGCCTTCAAACCCTTAAAGGGAGAAGTCTTGCAGGGAGTCGTGCGCTACATATCTCAACACGGTGTGTTCTTGAGGTGTGGACCCGTGAGGAATGCTTTTCTCTCGGCTTGGAAAATGTCGAATTACCAATATGTTCCCGGCACCAAACCAGCCTTCCTAAGCGACGAGCTGTCGAAGATAGAGAAGGGTGTCGTCGTTTGTTTCTTGGTGCTTGCCGTAAGATGGATAGATACAAGTAGGGATTTTGAGATGCTTGCCAGTGTAGATGCTGATTCACTCGGGCCGGTTTCGTTACCGGGTTCCGACGAGTCGGAGTGGTGAATGAATGGCCGCCCGCCCAGCCGTATAGCAGAATTATACGTGTTCTTGGCTTCGCATTGATGAAGACGTGATTTTGGGGAATACTAGCAGGGATTTGTATATATTTTGCAGCCTCGAGGTTAGTTAGAGGTGTTTTTCTCGTTAGATTAAATTACTTGAAATGATTTAAATGAAAAGTGAGCTAATTATAATATCTATTTCTATTGTTATTTTCAATTAGATTTTTATTTTATCGCATAAAAATATTTTTTTATTTATGTCGAATTGAGTTGGATGTAAATTTTTTTTTTATCTCAGAACTTGAATTAAGTAGAATTTCTCTAAACTCGAATTAAATTCAGGTGAAGGAAATATGCTTCTCGAGTTAGATAAGTCGGAAATTCGACTCGATCAGTTATCATCCCTAAGTAAATCATTAGTCCTAATACTATATATTATTCTTTGTACTCTAAGCAATTCAATTTTAGTTTTTCTATTATTTCAAATTTTAAAATATAAATTTTGACTTGAATAATAAAATAATAATATTACTAAATTATATATATATATATATAACGATTAAATTAGAGAATATGAGTGAAATTTATAACGTACGTATAAATTATAAATATGGTCTAGCAGAATTTGATTAAAAATTAACAATTATTAAAAATATAGGATTAAAATTATTAATTTAGAGTATAGAGATTAGATTTAAAATATTTATATAATGTAAGGACTAATTGAAGAGTTTTGAGCATTGAAAAGAATGAAGAATTAGCTCAAGAAGTAACAAACATATTAGGGGCTTCGATATTTCAGGAGCTTAAATTGACCTTAAATTCTCTGGAATCAGACAATCATTTTACTGCAAAATCCCTCCCTCTTCGTCTCTTCAACTTCCAAATTTCTGGGTTTTTTTTTTCTCGTCTTCTTCTGTTTTGGGTGTGATTTTTTCCCGGGAAATGTCTTCTTTATTCTCTAGCTTTAAGGGCACCGCCCAGTCCTTGACTTCAATCCGCCGTCCGTGGCGGGATTTCTTCGACATCACTGCCGTCGACATCCCAACCTCGTCCTCCGACGCCACCACCCGGATCGCCCAAAACATAACCCATTTCCGCCTCAACTACACCATAGTCCTCCTCGTGATCCTCTGCTTATCCCTAATCTACCACCCTCTAGCCCTCGTCACTTTCTTCGTCATCCTCCTCGCTTGGTTCTTCCTCTTCCTCGCCCGCGATCGCGATGAGCCCATCGTGATCTTCGGCTTCTTGATCGACGACCGCCTCGTCCTCGCCGCCCTCGTCGGCTTGACGGTGGCTGGACTGGTCTTCACAGGCGTTTGGGGAATGTTCTGGTGGCGGTTGCCGTCGGAGTCGGTTTCGTGATCTTGCATGCGGTGTTGAGGAGTACGGACGATCTGGTAATGGATGATTTGGAGTCGCCGTACGGGCACGTGCTTGCTGGTGGGGATGAGGGGCTCGATAGTACTAGAGGGGATTATTCTTCTATTTGATCATTTGGGTCTTTTCTTTAGATTGAACATGGTACATTTGCAGAATTGTTTAACGTAGTCTCATTGTTGACAATGAAAAACCATCAGAAATTATCAGTTTTTTTTATTTTTTATTTTTCATTTTCATTTTCCACAACAATCTCTTGCATGTTTTCAATATTCTTGAACTGTTGTGTTCTAAAATTAGTATGAATGAAAGTTGTTACTGTTGTTTTAGTTGAATTTGGAAAGCCTTATTGTGAAAATTTTCGTACAAGGATTGGCATTAATAGCAAAATCAATGCAGTGATAGGAACAAATTAATAGTGTTAGGGTCACCATTTTGCAGTCATTGTTGATATGCTACCGCAATGAATGTCCGAAAACGATTCACAGTCACAATTTAAATCCCCATGGCTAATAAGAAAGGGTGCTATGAAGCTTTGCTGAAAGTAGAGAATTTGGGTGCAAACCACAAAATGAGGGTGTTATTGCATTTGTAAAGTTGTGAAAGGTGATTCTGTCAAGCATCGTTTTTGTTTTGAAATGTTGATTTCGCAAGTCTGGTTTGATTTGTTTAGATGGATGTAGAAATGGAGAGTGGAAAGATCGGGACGTTTGGCTTAGGATACCTGTTTTTGTGCCTCTTGGTTTGCCTTTGTTCATTGGAAAATAGGTGAGCTGAGAAATTTGGAATGCCTTTATTACTACAATCACAAGCATTCGAGTTGTGCAAATTGAAGCATGTTTTGAACTTGAGAGATTGTCTCAACATTGTCTGGGTTCGTAGTCAATGGAACAATGTTGATTTCGCAAGCCTTGCCTGATTTGTTTAGATGGACGTTGTAGAAATGGACCGAGTGGAAATACCGGGACCAGTATGTAGATTGGCTGTTGCACCATTTCCATGGGGCCTGATACTAAGAGACTGGTGTTTGCGCCTCCCGGTTTGCCTTTGTTCACCGGATAAAGGGTGTAGTGAGAAACTTGGAATGCCGTTACCGTTATGATTGCAATCTTCCAAGTTGTACAAATGAAGCATGTTTCGAGCTCGAGAGATTTTCCTCAACATTATCTAGTTTCGTAGTCAATGTAACAAGATTCCCATCGTCGGAAACGATGGGGTACTGGTTTGGAAAGCTTTGGCAGGAATCCTCATGGATGCAGGTACAGCTGCTCTTGGTGACCAACCTGCGTCATGAGCTTGAGGTTTCAAAGATTTAAGCAATGCATGTATTCATCTCCTAATACTCAAATCTCGATGCGAGTTTAGGACATGGATATGTCGAATAATTTTGCGTATTTGAAGTAATTTTAGAGGATCAAATCCCTCGTATAAGTTTTGACTGCTAGTTTACAAAATACAGATATCGAAGGCAAAAAGAACAAGTAAAATTAGAGTTGTAGCAGAAATGACGCATATATATGGCCCTGAAGCGAATATGTATGTCTAAAATTGGAAACCACACTAAAACAAATATATGTAACCCTAAAGAGACGTGTACAAAATCTCAGTTAGTTAGCCCTGCACTGCAAGGGCTTGCAAGTGATCTATGAAAACTTGTAAGCTCAAATCATCTGTAAATAAAATGTCTGAACCATCCGAGTAAGTCGAATCTTGAGTAACCGATGGGTTTAACTTGGCTAGAAGAAACCTTGCTTGACTGCTATGCTGGTCACATTTAACAAGCTTTGGAGGTGGAACTCGTTCGGCCACCAATTGACCTGCATCGAGCTCCGGGGCTTCGAACAACTTTCTCAAGTTCCCGTGGTTTGGATCTTTATCGTAACCGAGCTTTCTCCATTGAGCAATCTTGGATCCATAATGAATAACCACACAAAAGTAAGAGTCGAAGAGTAAAATAACATCCGGGGATAACGAGCGAATATCTAAGAGAACCGGAACTGGAGGTCCATCAAAGGAATATTGTAAAAGTGTGGGCTGGATCATGACAATTGAATCCGTAACTCCTTCACGATTCAGCATCAGTCGAAAGAATGCAGTCTCGTCGGGAGTGCTGTTAAAGACATCAAGAAATTGGGACCTCCTTAAATAGAATATGAATTGGGGATAAAGTGAGAAGTTTGATGCAAGACGAAAAGACGAAGGATCTTCCTGTATATAGTCTCCGAACTTGGAAGCAAACCGTATAAGTGTATCATCCAGCCATCTGATAACATCTCTAGCAAGACATGTCTCTGCTCGATGGATGGCAAGTCTGGCCATAACTGCAGCTGCTGCTTCCTGATCAAACCCAGCACGAATTTCCGGTGACTGCTTTGCAACCCATCTTCTTGCAACGGTTGTCACCCGTTTCCTAACTCCCATGTTCCCATCTCTATAGCGTGTTATGAACTGTATCAAAAATGCAGCTCCAGGTTGAGGTTTATGCTCGTAGTTTACTTGGAAGAAGATAGCAATACATGCTTTACTAGTAAGTGTCCCCAACTTCCACATATAAGTAGCGCCATCCCCGATCACATTCTCGCACACCAAAGTATTCAACTTCCGAAGAGAAACACAAGGTCCAAGGGCTCCGCAGATTTTCAAGTCTTTGGTAGTCACTATTTCGATGGTTGCATCAAAATACATCTTCAAATTCCCCTCTTCATTGTGACTAAATATATGACGCATGCATTTTCTGAATTGATGGGATTCAAAAGACTCTCCTAGAATCATGAATCCCCCCGAGCTCTCAACAGGGACCTTCAGCTCCGCTGCTCCAACTTGATCCAGAGAACAAGCGAACAGATCAAGAATAACAGATGAATCACATAGCCTTTGCGATAATCTCTTATAAAAGTCGCAAGACTTCTGGTAGTACGGTGCCTGACCGTTTATGAGATCCTTATGATTCCTAATTGCAATAGCAAGATCCGAGTCTACAACAATCCCAGGGCCACGAGTAGCAGGTCCAGATGTGAAGACCATGATCCTGGATCCCGTGTTAACCAAGAAACCTTCCAAAAGTCCAAGTGCAGTCACTATCGCCGCTCCAGTCGATCTTTGGGGCCGATGACCTGGTCTCACCTGCACAGAGGAACGGATTTCCTCTATTGCAGATGTTATACTGAATTCACATTCCGATATTGGCAGCAGAAAACTCTGCTTTTGGATAGCAGGACTCTTTCCAAGTTGCTGTATCTTCGTACCACCGATTCCAAGAAGCTTTTGTACCTGAACACATCATACCGACAAAATTAATCATCAGCATTCCGAAAAAGGCAGTGCCGGGATCCTTACCTCCACTCTTAAACATAATCTAACGACTTAAACAATCACCGTTCTCTTCTTTTCAATTTAGCCTCCAAATAACTATATGAGAAACTAAAAAATTCCCATCTTTCAGGTTTATCTGTAAAGAAAATTTTGCCTAAAAACAAAAACCAGAACTTTCTAAACAACCAAACAGTTCTCCCCACTGCTAAACAAAATGCATTCGCTACCGATACTTTCAACCTTTCAATTTAGCATTCAAATTACATTACAGCACATAATTCTTGATCACATTGAATGATTGAATACCATAAAAAACAATTTGAAACTAATAATTCAACATATATAAAAATGGGGTCTTGATGTTTTTTTAAGCTCATTACCTGCTGGGAAGAAAGCTCGCGGTCACCATGAAACACGACAACCCTCAAACACTCCGAAAACCCGAGGTCATACACATTCACCATTGCATCAAATGTAACCAAGCCAACCAACGCGTTCTCCGGCAACTGTTCCACCACGCGCCGCAACTCACTCTTAACCGCTCTCAACTCCTCTTCCTCCATACACCCATCAACCACGAACACAAACGCCGGCCCTCTTCCGCCCACCTCTCCGGCCATCGAAGACGTCATCGACGACAACGAAGACGACGACAACAACGACCCCATAGGCTTGGGAGCGGAATGAACGGTCTTTGCGTACTCAACGGAGCTGTAATTGGGGAAGAGCTCGGCCGGGAGGTTGGATTCTTCGAGGGAAGAAGAGTAGGTTCGAGGGAAAGGGTTTTTGGAGAAACAGAAGGAGCAATACCATATACGGTACGTGTAATCGACGCGCGCGTATGGGTTCAAAACGGCGCCGCATTTGGAACAGATAAGAGGCTCGTAAGGGAGGATCGGGAGCTCCGAGAACTCCGTCAACGGCGTGCACATGACGGAGAGTGGGATCGTCAATGAAGCGGCATCGGGCTTTGATGTGGGCCATGAGTGCCACGGCCATCGCAGGCCCTCGATTGCTTCTAGTTCGTTGAAATCCATTTGAGAGAAGAAAAACAAAGGTTCACTTTTTGATTTTTCAGCTTGGTGGAGAGAGATGGGGTTTACTTGGATGAAGAGAAAGTGAGGGAAAATGGGGAGGACAGTGAAAAAACCCGGGTCCGGTGCAGAGTTTCGGTAACTTGATCGGAAGTTAATGATGGCGGCCGGCCGATTATGTATTTTTCATTATTCATTTTTTGATGGGTTTTTGGCTTTGGACTTGAGCAAGCCATACACCCAAACCCTTTATTTATTATTATTTCTTTTTCCCTTTTAAAATTCATGTAAGGTTGATAGTCGTAAATTCTTATAATTTTATTCATAACTTTTCCCTTTTAAGATTTTCTCTACGTAAATCTTGATGTTATTATGTTTAATCTTATTTTTAAGTCGTTACCTTCTTAACAACACAATTTCGTTATAAAAAAACCCTAAATGTTAGCGATCCCATAAAAGAATCACTTAATACATAAAGCATTATATAAACTAATGGCCATAAATGAATGCCCCAACACCCTTCACATGGTCATGTTCCCCATCCGTCATGGTGATCCTCAGAATCCCAATTCAAATATTAACATTATATTTAATACAAAAACCCCATATTAAACTCAATAATTAAATCAATAACAATATAAATATATTGAATTATACATGATATGAAGAATCTTTTCAATTTGGGAAGATTAAAAAGAAACAAGTACCATTAGCATTAAAACTGAGTGGGGGGAAGAACAAAACACATGAACAACAAGCTATGACAATCCCCCCATCATCAGTTCATTACAAATGTACTATCGTCACTTCTTTAATCATATCTATATATGCCATTTATATATGTGTAATAAAAATGCATAAACACAATCCCATGATCTTGGTTCCAGCAGGCAGCAAATACATGTCGATTTTAGGTTCTGCTCTTGCGTTTCTCCATTGCTCTTGGTGCTGCAAAAATGTATATATAATGTTTTAACATGATTATTCATTGTTATGTGAATACATGTGATGCTAGAAGTTTGAATGTGTACCGAGACCGATTGCTTCTGATCCTTTCATTATGCGTAAGCGTTTGCAGGAATCGACAAACATTCTACGGAGTAAATATCGAAAGTGAGTGTGTAGGTTTGGGAACGAGTTTAAGTTTTTGTGGATGAAATTGACTTACTGCCATGGGACATCACCCACGAGCATCCAGTCACCATCTTTATCTTCATAGCTTGGGACATAATCAGAACTGTTGAGAAGATCCATCAGCTTGCTCTCGTTCATGAAGTCTGTCATTCCTTGAGATTCATAGTTACCTTAAAAAATAAATAAATAAACAAATAAAAATCAACTTGACCCACGTTATATGACATGTTCATGTACGTTTTTTTTGTATTGATAATTTGTGTAGGCTTACTCATAGTGAAAGAACTGAACATCTTGGCCAAGGCATCAGACAGCTCTTGGTAGCTCTTGTACATCTTCAAATCTACCTTGCGAAGATATGGGGCACCATCCATGCGCACCTTCACAAACGCTGCACAGCTAGCTTTCTCACTTTCCTCGCCGGTGCTCTTATTGTTAGCCATAACGTTCTTCCGGTAAGATCGAACCGGCGGCCAACCCACCACCTGTGCCCTAAAAAGTCAAAATGACCGACCTCGATCGAGTTCAATTAGAATTTGAATCAATATATAACTGTTTCTTCCGAGCAAAAGGGATCAAACTCGAGACCTTGTTTAAGAGACAAACACACAACATAACCCTAATTTATACATGAAGAAACAAAAGCTATGGTGTTGGTGTTATTATGACTTACTTGGCCGGTGGTTTTGCAGGATCTTTGGCTGAAATCGGTTTCTCTTTGGAACCATTGTCAAGGTTCTTGTTAAGAACCATGTCGGTTTCCTTAGCCTGAAGGTTAAGCTTCAAGTCGACGGTCTCCGAGAAGCCTCGTTTACCGGTCGTTCTCGGAGAACCGTCGATTTCATTTCCACTACCGCCACCGGGCAATCCGAGGCACAGCTCAGTTCCAAGCATGTTAGCCATTGAAACAAAAAAAACTCTCTTTAACCCTTTTCTTTTCTCTATCTTCTTTTATAATATATCTTCAGCTTCAAATTTTCCTTCTTGGACCAAATTGGAGAGGAGATTGATGAGAAATGGAGGAGAATACAGTGAGAAGAGCAAAACCCTCAATAATATAAACTGTGGGGGGCTAAGTTGTATGGCTGCATGTGTATGTCACATCAAGGTTCATGATTCTATGGCCTCTCGACACGTGGAGAGAGATGGTACGTTGATCTTCAACAATTGATGAACGTGATTAGATTCTTGGGTGAACTCTCTTCTCATTGGTCAACTATGTATTATCACATGCAAATGTATAATACAAAATAAATGGTATGTCCAATTGTGTCAAAAAAAAAAAATTGGTATGTCCAAATTATTATGTTGATACATCACCAACTTATGCTAAGTAAATTTTAAGATATATTTTTACATTTATGAAATGTATTTAACAACTATCATCGTAAATTAATTACATAATTTAGATTATAATATTAAAACTAGTCACTTTAAATCATAAAATGACCATATATAAAAAAAGTTAAAAACCCTACCAAAAGATTTAAACAAAAAATAGGTACGAATAAATCTGACTGCAACGACAAACAAATAAAAAATAACCATATTGTAAGAATTTAACATCTTGATTGTTATTAATTTTTTTCATTAATATTAGTTGGGTGTTGGGAAAAGCATATGATAATGGACCACCCAATACCATATTATATATTAGTAGTATGAAATTAAAGAAAAGTATACACGTTATTATATGGTTAAGATACTTCTAAGAACCTTCCAATTATGCAAATTCTCACATGAACCAATAATTCATCCCAAGCAATGCAATTAAACAAATATATTTAGAAGAATATATATATTTATGTCCACACATACAAATAAATATGACCAATAAATAAATAAATATATTGTTTGTAAACCCAAGTGTTTTTTTCTTATTTATTTTCCCCAAAAACCATTTTTAAAAATATTTATTGTCTTAATTCTTAAAGGATTGAAAATCAAATAGACAAATAAATAAATAAAATATGTTATGATGAGCTGCATTTGCAAGACAACTTAATTGAACCGACACTTGCTCACCCCCTATGATTAATGTCACATATATTGCTTTAAACAATTAAATCCTCAAATATTTCCCCCCTAGAAATTTCAGGTAATGTTCATAAAAGTTTACAATAAATCATATAAAAATAAATTTTAATATCTAAATTTAATTTTAATATTTAATTGAATTCATCAAATGATCTCAACGATAAAAAAAATGTTGTTTTTTCTAGAGGTATTGGCTCGAACAATTATATTTAGTGATGGTAATTTCACCCGTATCCAACGGGTTCCGACCCGATCGAGTTAGATTTAAAAAAAAAAACAGGTTCGGATTGAGTCGGATCGATTTTTTAAGGGGTGAAGTCGGGTCAGGTAGGGTTCATATGCAAGATGAAAAAGTCCGACCCGACCCAAAGATAATAATATAATTTCTTTAAAAAATTTACTATTTTTAATTAAATCTTTAATTTATATCGGGTCGGATCGATTCAGGTCGGATTTATACTCTAAAAAATCGGGTCGGAATCGGGTGGAGGATATATATTTTCCGGGTCGGGTTTGATTTGAGGGTGTATATTTTTATGCCAGGTCGGGTTGACCAAAACCCGACCCGTTGCCATCCCAAATTATATTTGTAAGGTGTGTATGTAGTTAACAGGTTAAAAAAATTCTTAAGATATAATTACAAAATTAATATTTTATTTTTCTCGTGCATACACACACCAGTTAAATATCTGAATATGGTTTATTGATTTAAATTAGAATTCGAGATTGATTTTCTTTTTAATTCAATTTAACACTTATAATTTTTTAATCTAATAAAATACTTAAACTTGACATCTTAGTTCAAATTAATAATTGAATTTAATTTTTTAGTTCAAGACATGAGTATTAATTTAAAGACATCTTGCATACTTAATTTTTCATGTGTATGATATAACCCTTTATTTGATCTAAAGTAGAAATATTTTCCTTTTATTTAATATTTTTAACAGATCAGTCCCTCATGTGAAAAACCTATATATATATATATATAAAGAAGCCTCCAATTATTTTTTTTGAAAGAGAATGAGCCTCATTAACATATATATATATATATATATATATATAAATGAATGAACATCAAGTGATTGTGAAGGTGATTTGAAGGGCATGGTGGTGAGTTAGAGACAGGTCACATCCCTATGTGAAGGATGCATCCCTAACCCAAGTTGTGCCCTCTTATTTGTCCATGATAGATCTAAAAATATTTTTAAGAGTGAACGTGTATATATATATATATATATATATATATTAACAACATAAAATTTTATTAAAATTTTAAATATAATGAATACAAATAAAATTTTAAGATGAATCGAAGAAAACTCTAATTTTGAAGTGGACATAAAAAAAATTCAAGATTGACACTGTTAACAAAATTAATGTTTAATCAAAAATTTTAAATTTCAAGATCAACATGTATATACTCTTATATATGCGTCATTATTACCATATATTGTCTATATATAAAAATAAACGAATTTAAATAAAAATATAAAATCCTTATTTTATACCGAAACAAACTAGGGGTAAACTTGACACGTAACTCACGTAAATTTAATTCGACTCGATCCATGAACAATTCTACTACATACTACATAGAATAATTTATAAACAAGTGTAATTAGAAATAGTCCTAAATTTATTTGATTTTCTAAATTCTCAACCCTCTCGTAAGAATCAGAATAAATAACTTAGTTCCTTTAATTATACTCCGATTTAACGAGTGTCGCGTGTATAATTATAAATAATTACAGTTAAATTCAGATAAACTCTTTATATATCAAATGTTTAATACATAATGTATAATTTTATTCACCTATGATTAATTAATCGATATCATGGCATTAAAAATGAAGTTAAATGAATATATATATTAAAGTTTTTGAGAATCTTGTTTATTAGTTCATGGTCCTACAGAACGAGATGTGTACTATGATTCATAAGTGAGAATCTTTTTCACAATGGTATTATTCGCAATGTTGGTGGAATTTGGGACAGTCGACACCATTGGTGGGGGCTGACCAACCTACTCTTCCCATTGTAAATATGTCTTGGCTCCTATTATATAACGTACGAGACGGATGCATGATTTTATATTAGGAGCGAATTTGAATTTATAAAATTTTAGGAGACGAATTTAAACTTGGAAAATTCTAGGGGACGAAAACAAATTTACAATAAGAAATACGTAGATAAAATCTAAAATATACGGGTTACGACAACCCCCACCCACTCCCACCTAAGTCCATCCCGGTATAAGACCCTCTGATTGATTTCATTATTTCATATCTATCTTTGTTTAGGATCTAATATGTGATTAACCCTTTTGCTAAGCCGTATCAGTACGAAAGATCTTTCAGGTCAAACATCAGTTTTTTCACTCATTATTTTATTTTGGTTTTATACAAAAATTAGTCCCTTAACTTGGTAATTTTTCTAAATTTGGTTTCTAGGCTTTTTCTCAATCACATTATTCCCCCCGAATTAATACACGATGTTGACGAGACATTTTAACAAATCATCCAAAATGTGATGTGTGGCACTTATGTAGCCAACGTTTTCACTAGTGAATGTCACATGCCAATAGTCTGATTAATTATTTGAATTTTTTTAACTTTAGATATAAAAATAGTTTTTAAAAAATTAAGTATTGAACTAAGAAAAAAAATCAAGTTTAAAGGTCAATCTCGAAATAAAATATTTTATCGTAATACCTTTTTATAAGTGAAGATGGTTATTTATAATCGAACCCGAAATCTGAAAAAATCAAAAGGATCATTATTCGTTCAATTTTATATTACCTTATTCGTTACATATGTATAATCACTATAGCAAAAAAAGAGCATTTACGTCATTTTTTTGCCTATAGCGACGTTTTTAAGCGTCGGGCAAACTAACGCCGCTAAAGTTCGCGGCGTTTGAATAAAATACATGGGAATCCAACACAACACAAGTAAAATGGGCATGACGAGTTTAAAAAAATATATTTTTATTGAAACTTATCACTTTGATGTGATAAAATTTAATAAAAAATATATTTTATTAGAACTCGTCACTTTAACGTAACGAGTTTGAATAAAAAATATTATTTGAGCAAACTCGTCATATGAGCGTGACGAATTAGCCCTGCACTGTAACATTTATCATAAATCTCAAATTAATTTTGAAGTTAACATAATAAACTAATTTTTTACCCACATGACCTGTTGTGTCAATTTTATTAACTTGTTATATAAGTTAGGCTGCATTAAAAAAATGTTGGGGTTATTTCAAGTTAGTTATCAGACTATAAATGCATAGTGTATGTGGCCAAGACCCACGACAATTGTAATCCATTTTACAATTAATATTGAATTTTGAACTCATATTTTTCTGACAATTCAACATTAAAAAACCTTAACATTTATCGACGGGTTAGTTTAAACGATAATAGCTTAATACTATTTAAGTAAATTTTAAATTCGGGTCTTTATATATGAAGAAAAATTTTTTTAGAAGACTCATCCACCGAAACCTCCCTTCCCTTTGCATGACTTGAACAAGTTTAGTTTACTCTTTCCTTATTTCATCCACCCCATTAGACTCTTCTTAAATCACTATTGATCAAGGGGTTAGTAGGAACAATCATCTTCTTAAAAGTTTCAAATTCTCATATATTTTAGATTATTTTTTGTATTGATAATATGTTTTCCGTCTTCTAAAATGTTATAAAATTCATCCTATACATGATTTTATATTAAGAACGACAAACTTCTAAAATTTTAGAATGAATAAACTTATAAAATGACGAGACAAAAACATATTATCAATAAAAATATCTTAAGTATAATATACTTACAAATTTTCAAAAGATCAATTGTTCTTCTTTACTTCTTTTGATCTATTCCTACATAAAGTTGAATTTGAAGAAACAAGTTAGGGTTTGAAGCAAAGAGAGGGGTCGACATATCAGAAGATAATAACGTAGGACAAAATGTCCCATGATAATGGATCATG